ACACTGCCAGATCCGGGGGCAACTGTCAGTCTTCATCATCTCCAACCTCCAGCAGCTCTTGATACTCCTTCCCTCATGAAATACCTTCTTCGCAGGACATGATACTCTGCTGGGTGTCATCTTAAATCATGGTCTGCTCCTTTTCAGTCTCTTTGGCTAGATGCTTCTCCATGTCTTGACCGTTAAAATGGCAGCATGCTCTACAGCCCCGTCCTAAGTACTTTTTTCTTTTTAATCTGCTCTCTTCCGGGTGCTCTCATTCAGTGCCATGGCTTCAAATATCATCTATAGGCTGGTGACCCTCTAAGGCACATCTCTAGCCCTAACCTTTCCCTCTCAGCTCCATGTAAGCAGATTTAGCTTCCTCTTCTGTTTCCACTAAGATAATCTAGGAGCATTCCAAACTCCTGTTTTACCCAAGATTCTTCACCTGCCCCACCCCCAAAGCTTCTCCTCTGGTATCTCCCCACCCAAGTGAATGGCACCACCATTCATCCTTCTGTTAAGGCCAAAATTCTAAAGGCAAATCTTCCATTTTTTTTCTCTGCCATCCACATCCAGTCATCTGCAAGTTATGTTACCTTGATCTTCAATATCCATCTTACTACATTCACTGTAATCCACCTGTTCAAGCCATTAACATCTTAGCTGGATTGCTGTATTAAGTTCCTAACTGGTCCTTCTTGGTTTCTCTCCCTCTTTTCTTTTTTTTTTTTTTTCTCTCCCTCTTTTCTAAAAAACAAACAGACAAACAAAACCCCCACAAAAAACTTATTTCAGAGAGAGAGAGAGAGAGCACACACACAAGTTGGGGCGGGGTGCAGGAGAGGGAGAAGCAGACTCTCCACTGAGCAGGGATTCCCCATGTGATGCTCAAAGCCAGGACCCTGGGATCACGACCTGAGCCAAAGGCAGATGCTTAACCAAGTGCCCTCTTCTTGGTTTCTTTTAATGCTTCTCTACTCCCTAATATTTGGGCCCCGTCTTCCTTCTTCTAACCTCATCGTTACAGGTTCCTTCTTGCCTCATGTTCCAGCCACACTAACAGTCTTTCAGTTCCTTGAATGTGCTATATTTACTCTGACGACAGGGCCCTTGTATAAGCTATTCCTGCTGATAAGAACATTCTTCCTTTGCTGTCTGCCTGTTAACTCCTCTTTTGGCGTTCAGCTCAAGTTTTATTTCCTAATGAAAGAGGCTTCCAATCCCAGTTCAGAACAAATTTTCTTTCATAAACATCTTCAAAGAACTATGCTCTATCTTTACAGCATTTATTTTATATTTTAGACACTGCAAAAATATTTGCTGAATCGATGGGTCAGTAAATAAATGAACGACCTTCCCTAAGAATCTTTGGATCCATAAATTACCTATTTGCTACACTCCTCTCATTTGAAAGCTAAATTAGTTGAAGGTAATAGTCAATTACATAATTCAGTGTTTGGTGAGAAAAAGCACAAAAGAAAATGTATGCTATATTTGAAACCAACATGCACACAAGATAAAGAAAATAAGGGCCTGAACTTTCAACTGTAAGGCCAAAAGATTTTACCTTCCTCAGTAAGCAAGTCTGTTATAAGATTTATCTCTTTGAAAATGTATAAAGCTGTGACTTTATTTTTGTACTATATTTTGCAATGTGTATGGGAAGGGGGTGGAGAGAAGCTTGTCTCAAAGTGTCCTGTATTTTTGGTACTTAATTTTCATCTCCCTTATGTTCCTTCTTTCTCAAATTGAGCAGTTGTTCTCATCAGAAACATCTACCAAGAACTTAACAGTGGGCATAACATAGCTTTGCACACAAGCAAGAGAGACACATGTCTCATCCTTGAGCAAGTTAGGCTGGACAGACTTACCGTGTTGCCCAATATTGGACATTCAGGTGGAAATAAACATAAACCATACTAATCGTCAAGTGTCTGGTCACAGCTTTTGGTAGGACTTCACATAAAGCAGGCAAGCTACAGGACTTGGGACAACATAGTTTACAGATGAAAATTAAAGGCTTTTAACCTACTTCAAATGGGAAGAAAGGACCAACACATCAAAGAATACATATTTTGAGGGATGAGCTATTCAGTTGCACTTAAGGGTAGGGCAGTGGTGACTTTTCAGCTAGTTACTATCAGTTTGACATGTATTAAGTACAAAGTGGGCAGTAAAAGTGGGAGTTTGGGTAAAAATGCCTCTTTGAGGGGCCCTGATCAAATGTTTGTCTAAGAAAGCACCATGGAAGAAAGGTGGTAAGCTTCAGAGATGTGGATCTAGCCCCGCAACTTGCTTCTACAGTTTAGCAAATGATAATGTTTTCTTTTCAATGTATGCTAACATTTTAAAAAAAGATTTTATTTATTTATTTGAGAGAAAGAGAGTGGGCGAGAGTGCACCCAAGTGTGTGTGTGTGTGTGTGTGTGTGTGTGTGTGTGCGCGCGCGCACGCGCGCGCGCGGGGGGGGGGGGGGGGGGGGAGGGGGGGGGAGAGGGGGAGGGAGAGAGAGAAGGAGACTCCCTGCTGAGCAGAGCCAAAGCAGGGCTTGATCCCAAGACCACAACCTGAGCAAAGTCAAGAGTTGGATGTTCAACCAACTGAGCTACCTAGGCGCCCCTGCTCTTTAACATATTTCAAATATCTTTAACACCTTTCAGAAATTTACCTTTTTACCAGTACACTAGTAGCTAATATTTTTTATGGATTTCTAGGATATTCTAGAAAATACTGCATTCATAAGGCAAGAAAAATCTTACATGGTTTCATAATTTGAATGGGAAATGGCCAGGGTGTTTGCATGGGGAGAAGAGTGGGAAGCAGAGCAGCACAGAACAGTGTCTGTTCCAACTTGGCAGGTGTTCTCTACCAGACCCTGGAGTCCTCTCTCCAAATTGGGTCAGACTTGACATCACCAGTGGAAAAACAGTGCCCATTTCTTATCAGCATCGACTTGAGTGGCAAGAGCATGATGTTACTGCATTTAGCAAAGGCTGATGGTCTTTTTCTTGGACCAGAAGATGGGAGCATCTTCTGTTTAGACGTATTACACAGAGCTCAACCTAAACTAACCCATGCTCCTGTTTGGTTAACGCTGTAGATAAAGATCTTGAACATCATGTATTTACTCAAAATCAGAATCTATTCTTCTAAGTCTGTAACCCATTTGTGTGACCACGAATCTTCATAAATGGAGTAGAGATTTTTAGGTAGGTAGAAAGAGAGAGAAAGAGACAGTGTTTAATTTTAAAAAAGGCACATTGTGGTCACGGTTTTCAGGAAGCTCGAGCAGAGCCTGTGTGTATAAGGAACAAAATGTCAAATTTATTTTTGGTTTGAATTTTTGCCATTGAATATTCTAATTCAAGTCAAAACATCCCTCTGCATGCAGGGCAGGCAAAATGACCACATGATGATGTTGTGTGATGGTGATGTCAGCAGCCTGGACCTCTTCCCAACTGGCTCCCTGGACCACTTCAGAGCCCTCTGCACGTACCTAGAATGTTAGATCTTTGGTAATAAGGCCAGACTCACGACCAATAGCTCCCTTTAAACCTATGGCAGCCGGATATCCAGATGAAAAGATACTTGATTCTACTCATAGATATCCAACTAAATATGCTAAATTCTAAAGAGAGCTATTTCGAGAGTTTCAATTAGTCCTGAACATGGAAAAGCTGCTTCTGTACTTATGTAAAATATAATATGCCATATTATACTATTTGTTACTTCACAAGTTTTTAACACTTCGTTTTAACACCTCCACATCTATAAATGTATACCGCGGCAGAAGCCATATTAGGCGCGTCTTATCAAAATCCAACCCTACATTCCTGGGGCTCTTACCACCATCATACCTGGCATCTGGGGAGGACATATGGTATCTTTGGTCTACAGATAGATACCTGGAGAATTCAACCTTTATCTTGACTATGAGGATGTTTGGGGCTGGACAAGAGGAGGAAGGAGAAGCAGGCAAATGTAGACTTGAAGGAAAGAATGTTTATGAAACGGTACATTATGAGTGTGGAAGTAAACATCGGCCAGTTTCCTAAAGAACTTCACCTTCATTCTGTATGCTGAGATGACAGAGACAGGAAGCGTGAGACCAGATTCCACCATGACACTCTCCTGGAAGGTTCCTGACATTCAGGCTGCTGCCTAATCTCCTTTCTTGGCTCCTACTCCTTCAAGTACTGACTCTGATCTTTTTTTTCCCCCCTGGATATGCCTAATACAAGCTAATTTTGCTAACCTTCAGAGATTCAATTTTATGTCAATATCTCCCCGAATGTCTTCTCTAGTTCTAAATTTTGCTGACAGCATTATTTTCGGCTCTCTACTGGCCATATTTCTTGGCTGTATAAAAGGAACTTCAATCTTCATGTGTCCAACTTGGGGATCATATCTTACTCCTAGTGCTGAGCACATGGTAGATGCTTAATGTATCCTGCTGAGTTAAAATGAATTAAGAAAGATTAGAAAATTCCCAAGTGTCCAGCAACAAGGCTGGTTAAATAAATGATGGTACACCAATTCAACAGAACATTATATGCCTATAAAAGAAAAAAAGGAACATAAATGAATGAGGGGCTTTCTATGTATTAATGTGGCAAGACTGCCAGGATTTTTAAGCAAAAGAGCAACATGCAAAATAGTGTATATATTAAGCTACCTGCCAGCCTCTCTATAAAGGAACACCAGAAGGTCATGTAAGAAGGTAATAAAAGTGGTAACTATAGGCTGGGGATAAGGGATAAATAAAATAGGTGGGAGGAGGATTTTTCAATGTACACTCTTCTTGTATTGTTTGATTTCTGAACTATGTTAATGTTTCACCTGTTTAAAACAAATAGTAATATATATATTTTTCGAATGGGAGAAGTTAATTCAGAGACAAAGAAAAAGAATCCCAGGACTTAAACTTTCCAACTTGAGAGCAAACTAGAAAAATCATTTGTACCTCCTCTCCTCCATATAACAAGCTGCAGTTATCATCAACTTAAAAGTCTTACTTGTTAGCCACCAAGCGCATAACAGTCCAGTCCTTTGGAAACATCTCTGGGCGTATCAATATTCGGAACACAGTAAATATCTGTAGCAGGAAATCCTTGGATAGGGAGGAAACAGACCATTTTATTGAGTTATTGTAACTGTCCACACACACACACATACACACACACACACACACACACAACACCGTTGTTGCCATTTCCAAGGCAACTACAGAGAAGGAAGTCATGCTTCCCTAATTCACCGGGAGAAGGAATCATCACCCTTCCCCTTCTCACCACCCAACTAGCTTGCTACCCTTCCCAAATGTTCTCTTTTCCTTTTCTTTCTCATACACAGTGGAGATGAGCTTTCGTTCCTCTTCACAAGCTCTAAACATTTAGATTTTATAAATAAAGAGGAACTGATAGTTGAAGATTAGCAGACAGATATATTCTTTCTACTATTATAGCGTCCTCTACATCAGAACTTTTCGTATGGAGAGAACAATCAACAGTTCTTCCTTTTAGGTGGGTGTCAAAATTATGAAGTTCTGTTCATTAAAAAGCATTTTAGGTGAACACCCATGTTTCTTCGAGGGCATTCTGAGGATACAGCATCAATGCAGGCTTACAGCATCTGAGCGTGCTATGTAGAAGACACTCAAAGAAGGATGTGTGCTATGCTGAGCCCAGTGCTGAGTGCTTAGTAGCTATGATGGTGTCAAGGAATTCTTCACAGAGGTGTCATGCCAGAGGGCAATGGGATTTACTGAGATGTTCTCTTTCAACTGATCACCTGGAAACACTCTTGACAAGAAGCTACTGCAAGATACAGAAATACCTCTTTTCAATACATTTCAACTGACAGCACCTCAAACGCTGTAGCATACTATACTTAACGAGGACTCAAGGAGGCCCCATTCTACATGTACTGAACGACATAAAGCATGCCCAATCAGAAAGAGATTGGCTCGGTCTAGCTTGTATTTCGATTTATTAACTAGAAAACATAAAGATTTGCTGATAACCTTAAGCAGTGCTAGGAATATATCTCTCTACCAATCTGATGGAAGGCAACAGTATGGTGTTCCTTAATCTTAAAAAAAAAAAAAAACAACCAACACATGAGAGTTTTATTTATGAAACCCAACAACACATTATGTTAAACATGTAAGCTGCCTGAATACAAGATTATGGCTGTCATTCATATCATCAGAAGATAGAATCTGAAAATATAAGAAATACGTGGTAGCTCTGTGTGTGTGCATGTGTATGTGCATGTGTGCATGTATGCGTGTGTGTGTGTGTGCGTGCGTATGTGTGTGCGTGTGCATGTGGTTTTTTAAAAGATACTCAAACAGCTTTGATCAAATCCATAAATATTTTGACACGAATTTATTTTGGCTTCTTAGGCATCAACACATATACGTTGATATGTACTATGTGCCGTGTGGAAATACGCCCTCTGGGTCATTTGGCTTTACATGGCCAGAGAGATCTTTGTCATGTAGGCAGAATCACCACACAGAGTTTCCCAAATTTATCCCTCTCCAATACCCACCACCTGGTTCCCCCAACCTCCCACGCCCCGCCCCTTCAAAACCCTCAGCTTGTTTTTCAGAGTCCATAGTCTCTCATGGTTCACCTCCCCTTCCAATTTCCC